GTTAATTATCTTATTATGTAAAGCATGTGGCTGCTGCTATGCTCACTGTAGTCTGTAAGTACTTCAGACTTTGCTTTTGGAGGAAAATGAGCAACTTGTAACAAGCCATGTAAAAATTAACGGAATATGTCCTTGAATACGGGCTTCTTTCAAACGTTTAGTGGTGCTGGGATTTGCAGTTTGGTACCAAATTTTCTGTATTGTTCTGGAAAGTTTGTCCACTTCAGAAATTTGAGATGGTAGCCAGCATAACAGTAGCTCAAGAGAAAACTTATTTGAAGCGTGGTCTGAACTCTTGATTTAGAGTATTTTCTAGATTAATTAGCCAATATTTTTGGTATATTATCTAGCAATTTTCAGGACACACTTGCTCATTGTTGATACTTTCCTCTTATGGCTTTGTGTTTTCAGCATCACTGAGAATTCTTACGGCAGTTGAATTCAGCATGTAACTGTATCTGTGTGAAGCTGGAAAATAATGAAAACTTGTTTTGCAGGTTGGCACAAACACGCTCATTCACATGAGTAGTCTGAAGACATATTAAGTATTTTTCTAATTAATATTTTTCTAATTTTTCTAATTACAGTTACTGGGCAACAACCTTTTTTAATCACTGAAATTGAAATTAAACTGTTTTATGGCCAAGAGGAAGGAGACATGAACAACATTAGAGAAGGGAACGTAAATTCAGACTACTTCACTAAAAATATTCTTTAAAACTTTTGAAAGAACATAGAAATACATGCTTTTCATTCAAGTTTCAGTTGTAGTTGGATAAGTGGATAATAATAACATTTTCCAAAACTTGGAAACAATTTGATGAGAGTTTCTGCTTCATCTGTGTGTCTGTAGAATTGGATAAGCACACCAATCTGGTAACTAGAGTGTGCATTTGCTTACCTGGAAGTGTGTGGAGATGTGAAGCCCTGAGTACTCCCAGCACTGTGTGTTGCCAGGCACGGCTGTGTGTTTTGTACTTGCAAATATGGACGCTGGTGGTCACAACAAGGGTTCTGAGGACAGAGGAAGTGATACTGTCTCTCTCCCTCAAGGCAGCCTCAAAACTCTGCTTACTGAATCTCTCCAATGTTTTGTGCTCATCTCTGGCATTTTGGAGAGCTACTCCTGCAGGGGACTTGATTCAGCTGTCAGTGCGTTATTAAAATGAGTAACTACAGACAGTACTCAGCCATAATCATTTTTCAAGGGCTAATATTGTGCTGTTTGGTGTACTAAAATTATGTAATATTATCTAGGGATTTGATTTTGGTTTAATTTGTTACATACATACAATTACTTATTCAATAATTTGGCTTTACTTTCAGACTAAAAATGTCAAATCTGAACTGATAAAAATTACTGTAGTGTATTGTTAATATAGAAAGAATTAGTTTTACTGATTTTCTTGTTATTCTACTGCTGTAAAAAACCACAAGAGTATAATCAGAGACACAAGGTTTCATTGTAATTGTCTGATAGAGTTGTTTCAACAGCAAATTTGAAATGAATCAAAATTATGCTGTTTATTCTCATTTTTATTGATGTACATACTGCTCTTTACATAAAAAGGACATCTCTGAAGGTCTGAATTAAAAAATAAAATTTTTTTAAGGAAATAAGTGTTGGATTTAAAATATGCTATAAAGACACTTTTAAATATATGCCACAGATGTAAGAAAAAAAGCCTTCTAGGATCTCATGCTCATTTTCCCGGTATTTTAATCACATTCCCTTACTTGTTTATAATATGCTTTTTCACATAGTTTTCGTATTGTTGCACAGCAGTGTAGTTCACTCAGTAGTCTGTGCCTAAATATTCTTTAGTTTTGTGACTTATCGTTTCACAAAGAAAATTAAGACTAGACTAAAGATTTCACACTGTATGCAGCACAGTTTAGAAATCTGGAACATTAATTGTTAAATTTGGAGGATATCATCCCATCAAAACCCTAGTTTTATGACCTGGTAACTTATATTTTATTTTCTGCTTTCTCAACTCAACTGCTCACAGCTTTTCTGCTTTCCTTGTTTCTCCTTCTCTGCCCATCATCTTCTGTTCAATTTTCAGTCCAGAACAAGACTATGCAAAAGTTAGCACCCTCTCATCATAGCAGTCAGCAATGGAGCTCAGAAATAGTTTGTCCAAATGGAGTGTATCCCAGAATTTTGCCCTACTTGGCTATAGAGGCTAAATTAAAAGGTAAATTCTGTCCAAAAGAATTTTGTTGATGATGGCACAGATCAGGTTCTTTGCATTTTAACTGGAGGAAGGAGGAAGGAGAAGCAGAGAGAGGGACTGCCTGTGACAATCTTATCACTTTCATTCCTATTGCTGTCTTCTAGGATGTCACTGTACAGTGTTAGTTTTCTGCTTCTGATTCACGTGATCTTGTTAGGCCATCCTGCTTTATTGCATGCTGTCTGTGCACTTACGGAGCAGTCCTGCCAAACAGGACAGCTGCTGGTTCAGTTGCTGTAGCATTGCCATAAAAAAAAAAAAGTAGAGAACCCTAGGTGTATTAATTACATTATCTGTCCTCTCCAAAATAATCTGTTCTGCATTTAATAAAAAGTAGATGAAAAGTAGAACTGATCCATGAAAGGACCATGCTAAATATCTACTTTATTTTTCCATTACAGGATATTTGTGAAGATATATCTGATCACGTTGAACAAATCCACGCTCTACTAGAGACTGAGTTTTCCTTGAAGCTTCTGTCTTACTCTGTCAATGTGATAGTTGATATCCATACAGTACAACTGCTCTGGCACCAGCTACGTGTTTCTGTTCTGGTTCTGAGGGAGCGTATTCTCCAGGGACTACAAGACGCCAATGGAAACTACACTAGGCAGACTGATATTCTGCAAGCGTTTTCTGAAGAGACTAAGGAGGTATAGTAGCTAAATTAAATCTTGAGAATTTCATTTGTATTTGAAGTACCTCATCCCTGTTGCACACTTAAAATTGTTAGAATGACAATTTTAAGGATGGCTTACTAGATATTTTGCGTTTTAAGTATCCTTAGCTGATATCTGCTCTCACTGAAAATTAAAGCAAGTACCTTAAGGTCAGCTTTCAGAAGTGCCATGCTAATGGCTAGCAGTGTTTTCTCCTGACTAATATTTTCTATAAAGGATTGGAAACACTTACAGAGGTGCATCTTGTTCAAAGTCCTTGGTCTGTTCACTCATAAATTTAAGGTTCATGTCCAGTTTTTTTATCAGTTTTTATCTGCAATGAATTCTTTAATGAAAAGCTTAGAAGTATCCTCAGCTGATATCTGCTCTCACTGAACCAAATTAAAGCAAGTACCTTAAGGTCAGCTTTCAGAAGTGCCATGCTAATGGCTAGCAGTGTTTTCTCCTGACTAATATTTTCTATAAAGGATTGGAAACACTTACAGAGGTGCATCTTGTTCAAAGTCCTTGGTCTGTTCACTCATAAATTTAAGGTTCATGTCCAGTTTTTTTATCAGTTTTTATCTGCAATGAATTCTTTAATGAAAAGCTTAGACATTTGCCTTCTTGCTTACACAAACCTGAAGATTACACAATGTTTTCCAAAACTTCACAGACTAGATCAACATTCCTTTATAGCAGTGAGGATGGACTTTAATTTGCTTGAGTGGCAATTCTGCAATGTATCTCTAAACAGTCACACATTTTGTCTGAGAAACAATGATGCATGAATCATACATTTTTTTACTCTAATGGAGTGTAAAATTCACACACATGTAAATGGTTTGTAAATCTGGATTCATTTAACTAAAATGCCTTTCTTTATTAATTCATCATTCTAAATTAAGTTAGTTACTAGGACGCTGCAAGCCTAATTTTTAAAACTGAAAGAAGATGCACTTATTAATAGATAGGATAATTAATGGGTAATAGAAGATACCTTAGCAGGTAGAGGATTCTTCATTTGCTGAAAGTCCCAAGACTAAGATAAAATACTTTTGTTAGGACTAGATACATTTAGAGAAAGTGACCTCTAGATCAGTGCAGTGAGATTCTGTGACCTGTGTTACAGAGGAAGTCAGAAGTTCCCTAAACATGCCATGAATTTCTGATGACTCGAGTTTAAAGAGAATATGCACATTTCTCTGTGCACAATAGAGTGGGTGGTCCTGAAATCAATACTCAGAAATGCCCAGGCCCACCTTCCACACCCACTCTTCCTGATGTATACATACCGGGTGCTTCAGATTCAGTTTCTCCTTTGCTGCTGACGATAAACCTTCTCTGGCAAGTCTGAAGGAAATCCACACTTGTCTGAATATCCAGAGTGGTGAATTAGGGTGAAGTCATTATTTTATGACATGAATGTGGAAATTTCAAGACATAAGGAAGGGGCAGATTCAGATACTAAGCAGCAGGAAATGTCACATCTGGACCTGATTACAACTGCTATAATAAACCTCTCTCCAATACAGGGGAGGACTGACTTGGGAAGGATAGATTATTTTTCAGTGGGGAAAAAACATGTTGCCAGATAGGCTTATATGGTAATAAAAAAGACAAAATATCCCGAAATGAATCTTTTTTCCCACCCCAACTAAGACATAAATAATATTTGATAAAATTAATGGTTAGCAATACCAGGGACACAATATTAATTTTAAATTTCTACTCTATTGCTTGAATAAGTTCCCAAAAATTGCTCTGCAGTTTTAATCTTCAGATATTTATTCAAACTTTTCACAGGGTATAATGGTAGTGTCTTTATTTGATGAATATAAATAACTAAATAAAATGTAATGTAGAGACAATTGTATCTACTCTTATCTCCCTTTTTTTGTGTATGTGTTTCTTTTTCCAGCCAGGACTACTTTTTGAGACTAGTGATACAAATATTATCTATTAGGGATTTTCATGTATATGTGAATAGTGAGACTGTTTGAACAAACCTAGAAATCTTTGCCCATACAGATAAGTTTTCCTTGGAGAATCATTCTTCAAATTTTCAGTACTCCTTGGGGATTATGAACCAGGAATGACAGCTTAATTTTTTTCTCCTAAGATTAAGAAGTCATCTGGTTTGAAATGAATAGAAGGAAACTTTCACATACAAGAAAGACTTTGATTTTGGAATTCACTACTGTAGGACACTTAAAAGTAGAAAGAAGTTAAAAAAATAATAGGAAAACTAAGGAAAGATAGGAGGAATTATAACCTTTATATGAGGAAGTCCCTGTGCTGCTTATTGGAAGAAGCTGGGAGTGTGAGTAGAAATGTTGTGTGTTGAAGGGCCATGTAGGTATATCCACGTCTTTTAGTTCAGCTAGCAGAAAATGTTTAGAACTGATGCAAAGATGGGATACTGGACTAGACAGAAATCTGATCTGAACCAGTACAGCAAATGTTATGCTTTTCTACAGACCATGAACCTATCATTTCACAAAATGCTTGGCTCACTCCTTAAGTCAGCTGTCTTCTGTGTAATGCTGAAGAGTGGCTTTGCCTGCCAATGTTAACTGAGGAGCTCCACAGAAGAAGTGACCTGCCAAGGTTTTTTTCGTCTTTAGTGAGACAGTCTCATCTCCTTAAAATGCACTACTCTCTCAGTTCACAGTCAATCTAAGCACAACAGTCCTGCCTGGGCTATATTTACACTGTAGCTGTAACACATAGATGTGCACAAGCTAGCCTCAACAAAATGAACAGGGATAACACGGGTAGAGTAGCTACCAAAACATGAAAGTGTACAACACAGGCTCTCCTGGCTTGGTTAGGAATCCAGGTCATTAACTAGGCAGGTAGTAACTGAGCTTTTGGCTATCTCAGCAGTGCCATACTGAAAAGGATGCCAGCAGAAAAGAGCACAAAAAGTTTTATGGCTTGGAGGAAATGGCATGCTGCCTGCCACGACAGAGATGCCAAATCAAGTAAAGACATTTTTCTGAAATAAAAAACTTTGGAGAGTTAAGATCTTGAAGGATCATTTCTCCTTCAGGAATTACCCAAAGGTGGATAACAAGGAAAGAAAAATGAGTTCTGTGCAGCCTGAGTTCTGTCCAGCTGAACCTAACCTATGAGTCTTAATTATCATAAAGAGAGATAAAGCCAGGAAAAAGGGAAAGGATGAGTATAAGGCTATGTTAAAATACACTGAATCCTGATGTTCTCAAACAGTTGGTAAAGTCACAAAAGAAATATCTTACAAATTAAATTAGCTCATTTGAAAGAGTAAAAAAGCCCACAGAATTCTTCTGGTTTAAATATAAATACACAAAGGTATTGTATACAGCCACAGAGCTTTACAGGAATTATTACTATGTGAAAAGGGACAATTTTTTTGAACTAAGTTATTTCTGTTCGTAGCCAAACAAATAACTAAATGAAACATTTTTCTGAAATAAGAACAATAATAAAAACATGGTAATACTGGCATTAAATATTGCTCCTCTGAAGCACACATTTAAGATGCTTCTTGGAAAATGACCAAGCAAGATGGTTTAATGCATGTGATTGTAAATTTTATTAATGTTAATAAACACATTTTTAAGAGATGAAGGAATGGAGCTCGTTACTCAGGAGAAATGAAAACCCTTAGGGCCTTGGAAAAGGTTTTGATTTATAGATGGTTTTACAGTTTCTAATCTTTTGCTGAGATTAGAGAAAAAAAGCAGCTGTAATACTGATCATTTTTTATTCATTATTTTCCTTAATAAATGCAGCTCCAAAATATAAATTTGACAGATTTATAGAAACTTCCCCTTTTAATTCTAGACTATTGACAATGTACAATTTGTGGCATAGGTTTTACATCTAGATAGAATATGCCAAATAAAATATATTTTCGATGTCCAAGATTATGGTTGATAAATAACTTTTTAATAGATCTTTTCTATAAATAATATTTTTAGCTGTGTATTTTTTCTATTTTTACATGGAGTAATGCAAGCGGGGTGGACAGAGTACAGGGCTCAAACATTACATGTTTTTAGAAAACGGCAAACAATAGCCTTCTTTAATGATACAATTCTTGTTCAGCCCAAAATCCAAAGTGGTTTATTGTAAGATGAAGACATTGTGGGGTTATTGCACTTTCTTCAGGCCTGATGCCTAGGGGTCCTTAAACTATGGGTTTAGGCAGTGTCATGAGACAAGCTGTTCCAGAGAGTAATTCAGACAAGAACCTATTGTGGATAGTCAAGAGTCTGCTTTGAAAAACTATTATGAAAACCAGACGTGGGAAGAGAGGCCAGTATACCAACTTAGGCGCCTAAAGCTAGAGTCTTAAAACATGAGTTTCTGCCCTTTATGATATTTTTTTAAGTAGTTGCTGTAAGCACTTGGGCTAATGTTTACTTTTTTATTTTGAATTCTGCTTTTCAGTTTCTTTTGTCCAGCTGACATGCTTTACCAATTTCTCTTGTTCTAGATAGTTTCATGGAGTTACTTAAGATGCACACCAGTGTAAATAAGAACAGAAAGTGTTTCAGAGTTATTTGATCCTATGTTCATGTGTCAAATTATGTGCTTGGATCTGGAAGTAGTTGAGACCTGCCTAGGTGTTAGATCATTAAATTGTCTACTAAAAATATGCTTATAAACTGTTGATTAAATGTAATTTTGCTGTGATTGTTATATATAAGCCTGCTTTTGGGTCTTAATGTAGCTTTTTTTGTATCCTTCAAGTAACTCACCAAAACATTCATAAATATTAGTTTGGCTTTGATCTTAAAATCTCATTTGCCACCTTAGATGGCCTCTTCTGGCTATGTCTGTGTTTCTGAGCTTGAAGGACTTCCATTAGGAAGATGCTGATGAGGGGACGTGTCAGGCCAGAGGTTTAGGATTCCTGACTATAGCTTCTTTTCCTTAAGCTGTTCTCCATTTTTGCTCCAAGTATCCAGCAGATAAAGCCTCCATTGATAATGCTAGAAAAAAGTGAAATGTAGTTAGCTAACTGTGTCTTATAAATACAGGAAGAAATGTCTGTCATTGCTAGATGCTGCTTGGAAAACCATTCTGGCAATCAACTGAAAGATTGTAGAGCAGCATGGATTTCTAAGATCATAAGATTAACAAGGAGGCTGATTTACTCAGCAGTCCCCAAGATCCCTTCCCTCCTGTTTGAGGGAGTTAACACAGGAAATACTACGAGTCTGGTGTATGGAATTTCTGAGGCCCCCCTACAGAGGAAGTTGAACTGAGAGCAGAATTTAAGGAGAATACCAATACAAAAATGAGATGCCATTTTTAGGTAACTTGCTGCACCAGACTGAAATTAAACATTTTTAAGATTACGGAAAATACTTTAGAATGGATTGCTCATCTACAGGGCACTATAAAAACAGGCAGGTCAGCAATGAATGCTTTTCTAGATGTTAGTCAGTGAAACACAGAAGCTGATGGTTTGTAACTTTGTGCTGTATATGAAAATTAATCTTCTAAAAAAGTACCATTCTTTGTCTATTTCAGGACCGTCTTGACTCTTTAACTGAAGTTGATGATTCTGGACAGTTAACCATCAAATGTTCTCAAAATTACTTGTCACTGGATTGTGGCATTACTGCGTTTGAACTATCTGACTACAGTCCTAGTGAGGATTTGCTTGGTGCTCTGGATGATATGACCTCCAGCCAAGGGAAAACAAAAGCATTTGAATCCTGGAACTACAGTGAGATGGATAAGGACTTTCCAGGACTTATCAAAAGTGTGGGCTTACTTGCAGTAGCAACTGATTCCATTGCTTCTCAGTGTAATGAAGCATTAAATGAGAAAGAAACCCATGTACCTCTTTCAGCAGAAGATGGAGAAGACAGCAAAGACAGGAAAGGACCACACGAGCTCTCACTAGTATCTCCTTCTGCAGACTCCTCTCTTTCTAAAGGACGTTGCTCTGAAGATGGTGGTGTACCTACTGAAGGCAAACCAGCTCCCACTTTAAAGAAACCAGAATGCAATCTTCCACAGCACACTGGTGAAAAAATGAAACACTCTCACTGTGAAAACTCAACTCCTAAGAGGTCCATAAGAGACTGTTTTAATTATAATGAAGACTCCCCTACGCAGCCTACATTGCCAAAAAGAGGTCTGTTTCTGAAAGATGATGTGTTTAAAGATTATATAGAAGCCAACGATTTTAAAAGGCAAATCTCTCAGATAGTTAAAAATGAAATGAGTAGAAGTACACCTTCACTCTTAGATCCACCAGACAGGTCCAAGCTTTGCCTAGCTTTACAGTCACCGTACTGTAACAGTCCATCTGCAGTTAGTCAGTCATATGATTGCTTAAATACAATAGGTGATAGAAATTTTGACCACACAATAAGTAATCACTTTAAGAACAGTTCCATAAGTCTAGGGAAGTCTACTTTTTACACCTGTAAAGAAAAATCAAAGCACAAGAAGTCTCATGACGCTCCAGAGAAAGCGAAAGCTGGCAGAACACCCGGAGGTATGTGTAAAACGGCTCCACCAATACAAGTCAAAAAAAGAGGATGTTCTCTACAGAATGGAATTACTTCTCATAACTCTCAGTCTCTGGAGGAAACAGAAACAGATTCTTCAGATTCTTGCAACCAGAGAGACCCAAATGGGCAATCACAAGGTAAAACTGAGCCATTTAGTTCACCAACACGTAGCCAAAAAAGTGCTTCCTCAGCTGATTCTGAGCTTACCAACTCATCACCTCTTCTACTGAGAAAAAAGAACAATAAAAGCTTCTCCTCAACACCAAGCTATACTCAAAAAAACAGTAAAGATGGTGACATCTGGTATGGTTCTGATGAATATTTAGCACTTCCTTCACATCTCAAACAGACTGAAGTATTAGCTTTAAAACTAGAAAATCTGACGAAGTTGCTGCCCCAAAAGCCCAGAAGAGAAACCATTCAAAACATTGATGACTGGGAGCTGTCAGAAATGAATTCAGATTCAGAAATGTATCCAACGTACCAGACAAAAAAGCACAAAAAAACAGGTAGGATTTCACCAAGCTCTTCAAGTGATATAGTATCCTCCTTGGGTGACAGTATTGAATCTGGGCCTCTCAGTGATATTCTCTCTGATGAAGAACTTTGTATGCCTGTATCTTGTCTTAAAAAATACATCGAAGAAAAGTCAGAAAGGACTGCTGTCACTCAGCCCACTGAGAATGAGACTTCTGCCTCAAATAAATCAGCTTTAATTCACCAACTGATGCAAGATATACAACATCAAGAGAATTATGAAACCATATGGGAAAAAATTGAGGTAAGGCAATAATCTTGTGTTTTTCTGCTGTGTTCTTGATAAGCCTATATATGGAGATGGAGCTGTGGGCAGGGGTGGAGTTGCTTTCTTGTTTTCTTTGAATGATGAAAATAGTCTCATCTGGTGACTGCTAGAAGTAGACAACAGCAGTGATCATTGTAACTATAATAGACTGCAATCGACATTAGCTATACAGAATTTGCCTATGTTATTTTACTTACAGCAATGCCTTTAAACGTGGCAAAACTTTATCAAAAGAGTTTCTCTTTGCCAAGATCAGGTATGTGACAAGTTGTTTTTTGGATGAAGTGAAAAATAAACATTGGAAAATCAGGGATTTTTGTTGTACTTCAATGAAGTTATATTTAATATAATCCGCTTATTTTCTTTATAAAAAAGAATTGCTTCAGTCCAAGAATAGAGGAATCATTTTCTTGATTACTGTCATATAATGTATAAAAAACACATTTCTTTTTAATCAGTTCTCTTCCGTTGTAGTGATTATTTTCCCTCCAGTGTTGGTGGAACTAAGCATAACATCTCTCTATCTTTCTTCTTTTCTTTCTTTTTTCTTTCTTCTTTTTTTCTTTCTTTTTTTTTTCATTTTTTTATCTTTCTTTTTTTTCCCCTTCTTTTTTTTTTTCATTGGGGGGACAGTGTTAGGGTTTTTTTGTTTGTTTCTTTTTTTACTTAAATAATCCCTCCTAAATAATGACAATTTAATAGTGTAATATGTAACAATGGCAATACAGTGTCCCATTAAACTTCAGATGAGATAGGATTTCATTCTTGGCTTCCGGTATCACTTCTTCAGAAGTAACTCTTCTTTATAATGTAGAAACATTTGCAGTAGTTAACACCACGAGAGATCTTTCAAGAAAAAAGGTAAACTTTGGAAAGGGAGGTAAATTGAAATGATTAATCAAATAAAGACCTTGCCAGTAATATAATTATTTGGTTACATTCATAGTAAATTTTTGTTTCAATATTCTGATGAGTTTCTCTTCCTGGCTATTGTAGAGGAGAACATTTTATGACCATCCTCAATATAGTTTAGCAAAAAGGCTGTCAGAAAATCCATCTGCTAGATTTCAAAATAATTTTAAATCCATGAAATATACATTAAAGCATGATCTTGGAATTTAGATGCTAAATCTGGTATCTGCATTATCTTCTGTCATCAATCTCCATAAAAGCTAAGAAGAAATAAGGACTTAGTTTTATAACTTCAGTAAATGCTTCTTGCAGTTCACAATATCTATAACTTTTGAAGACATGGGAAGCCTTATGATTAGTAGAAAAGTAGTTGAGCTAGAGTTGTTTGAGTATAAAGTCAGGGTAGAAAGCACAGAAAGAGAACTTTCTTCTTAAACAAAGGCAGGCTCCACATGAATAAGTAAGATGCTGTCTTTCAAACGATGCTACAAGACCCTGTTCAAGGAAGGGAATTGTTGAGTGCCCAGGGACCAGCTCCCTCCACTTGACACTGACTAGCATCCTTTTGGCAAGCAGCAGATGGCAGAAGAACTTTTTGCATCGCTTTCTCATATAATCTTAATAATTTTTCTTGAACTTTTTGGAAAGGTAATTCTCTTTTTGGGGGTCATCTGTGTTTGTGTGATTCCCTGCAGCTGCAGTTCAGTCCTGGCAGAATGGAGGAATAAGAACCAGCTGTATCAACTGGCTGCAGCTGTAAACACCTGCTTCCTCTGCATACCCATCCTCTCCTCACCTCCTCTGGAGAGTGAATTGAGCTCCTGACAGCAATTAAAGGTAGTTAGCTGTTCTCTGGCCAGGCTCAACCCTTCTAGCTAGTGATTCCAGCTGCTGCTCTTGTCCTTGAGGAACTGTGCTACTGCTGACGCTGCTTTTCCTACAGTTTCTCAGTGTTCCTGGTTGTAATGAATGTTTGGGAAGCATTGATCATGGAGTTTGAAACTAATCTTATGAAGTACATTGTGGGATGGGGCTCAGAGTAGAAGGGCTTTAAACAGAAAGAAAACTAAATGCAAAGAGCACCGCTAGGAAGAGAGATCGCTCAGTGATCCAGGCCCTTAAAAGCAGCACACAAGAAAGCTTCATGTTTATCTCATGCCAAAAGATGTGCACTAGCTACACTAAATGGCTTGAAAATGTACTTCCTGAATGATGAGTAAAAACAATCAAGAGAAAAGTTTTGAAATATTTTGCAAAGCAATTATAATATTTTAAAGAAATATAAGGTTTTCCCAAGCTCCTCATTTACCTGAGTTTTTCCATTGTTTCTAGTAATTATACCTTCTGCTTGTATGACTGGTAAAGAACCAATTTTTCAATACAAGAGCTCTTCCCAAGGTAAATCCTGCCTCAGTAACACTATGGTGCCTTGCTGAGGTACTTTAATTTGACGTAAGTAATAGCAAAATAGAAAATTCCTCCCTTATGTGATATTACAAAGTATTGTAAACAAAATCTAACTAAAAATAACATACCTGTGTCACAGCCGAGTCCCTTCTTTAGTTAGATCCCCTGTTTCATAATTCCCTAAGCAGAGTATCAAAAGTGTGCCATTGGTTTTTTAATTGTCATCATTTGGCATTTACATTAATTCAGTTATTTAATAAGATGTCTCCAAGTCAAAAAGAATTTTCCTAATTACATGCATACATGTCTTAGCAATAATTCAGTATTACTTTTGTTAGCAGGAGTTTTGTGCTAAGAAAGTCAGATCTGAAATGAGAACTTAATTAAGGACAGAAGAAGCATGCTCATGCCCATTAGTAATCCAGTTACACTGCTGCAAATGTCTAGCCTAATATATTTTATTTATTGAGATTGTAAAACAAAACTAAAATAACTCAACCTTTCATTTTGGGATAACAGCTTAGAAATGACTGTCAGCCTCAAAATCACTGAAAGTCATATTTTAGTTCGGTAATAGGGCAAACAAGAAAGTTTCAGTATTTTATTATGATGGGAATAATTTTGAATTAGTATGAATCTGGTAACATCTTGATAGCAAGCCATTTGTTGAACATATGCTAAATCCTTTATTTGAAGCCTTATTAATTTCTCTGTTATATGGAGGGTAGTCATATGCAGAAACTGGAAAAAATGTAGTTTGTCATACTTGCAAATTATGCAGATGTCCTTGCATGGATATAATCATGTTGTTAGTCTATCTGTCCAGAAACAGAATTCTGCTTGACTGGCCCATTAGCTGTTACAGAGGATCGCTTCCTTGCTTTGCAATAAATATTGCACACTCTTGACATATTTTGCCTTGCGCTGCAGCTAATTCTTTGGCTCATCCTTCTTCTGCCATTAGTTCTGAGTACCTCCATTCTGGGGCACATAACAATTTCCATGGCAGCTCCTTGTATGTTGAAGAAATTACTTTTTGGAGTTAAATAAGAGAACAAATGCCAAATTCTGAATGTTCCTCCTATTGTTAAAGTATAGTTTTGCTTTTAGTAGCTACCCCAAATGAATTTACAGAATGCAGATTAAGCTCTGCAATTTCTGTTATATTAATTGGAGGGGAAAAGAAATAACACCACCGTTTGCACAGGTAAAGTCAATAGAGTTATTTGCCATTAGAAGATGGCTGATTGTCACTTCTCATATATAACACAAGGACTCCATAGTGTCAGTTTCAGAATGCTTTAAGGTTTACTTTCTGTATATGTTTTCCTTAAAATCATACTAATAATTTATTTTTTCTCCCATTTTTATGTACAAACTGAAAATTTGGAAGAAAAATACCTGATCTTGGGCTGATGTAATGACGGTGCATTTTCAATCATCTTATGGGACTAAAATAATAACAATTAAAACCTTGTTCAGTTTTATCTCCTCTAGAAAGAACACTAGATTGACTCTATTGACATGCTTGTGCTGTAATGTGTGGTCACTGACAATCCCATTCTACTTAATTTTTGAGGGAGCTATTACACAGGGTAGAGATGTAACCATTTACAAGACACTCCATTTAAATAAAGACATTTTCGCTTTGCAGACCTCAGGGTTAATTGTATGAGCAAATTGCTGATTTTTTTCCTGTTGTACAGACTTATAGCTTGTTTTATTGCAGGCTCTATTTCTGTAAGAGGCAGCTGAATTTCCTCTGCAAGAAACAATTTGATATCTATCAATCTCATCTTCTTAGCTCATCACATTTAATGAATTTTCCCTGAACTCCATTGGCTCTGTATTTTGTCTGGGGAGCCCAGTCAGCCTTGGCACTGGTTACCCATCTCCTTGACGTGCAAAGGGAGCAAAATAATGCTGCTGTTCATGTTTCTCTGCTGTGGGTAAGAGCATGTCCCAGGTACCTTACAGCAAAGAGCTGGATAAAAGATTTTGTTGCCTTCCAGGTCACAGTCAGGGACCCCCTCACCCTCATGCAACTATTTGTCACCTCTGAACTGAAGATCTCTCAGTAGAGCAGAGATTAAAGACCTCTTTCCCAAATTATTGAAGTAATGGGGATAATCTTCCTGCCTAGGAGGAACTAAGAATTGGTGCAGCCTACAAAGGAGAGTGCAATATCAGAGCTAAAATTGTTAGTGTGACAAATAGCTTGTGTGTTTGGGTGGGAAAGATCTGTATTTTTAGAGGGTGGTCACAAAAGGTTACTAAATGGTAGGCTTCTGCAAATGGTTAATGGACTTGATAGAGCAAGTTTGTATTGGAGATACAACTGGGAGTCCCTCTGGGCGGTGGAGAGCCAGTTGGTTAGAAAATATTTGGAGAACTGACAAGAAAGAATTTGTGTTGTTTAGACTGAAAGGGGACAGAGTTGCTTCTGGGCAGAGAATGGACTGGAAACACACCAGTACAGTTAAGGTAGAAGCTGGATTGCTTGAGGGGAAGCAAAGTTTATTTGTGTTTGGAGGTGATATTCATCATTAGGGAGGAAAGCATGTATAGGGCTGTGGGGCTTGGGTAGTGAAAAACTAATAGGAACCGATAACGCTGATGGGGCTTGGTAACAAGGGAAAAACATAGAACCAAAATCA